TATATATATATATATATATAAAGCCTCAAAACCATTTTCGAAATTTTCTCAAAAATGGCAACAAGTGTTTGGAATAAACTTCGTCGTTGGATAGTATAAAGGCCGCTTAAAAGAATGGATCAGGTTTCATTTTCGTGAAAATTTCTGAATTTTCGAAAATTTCAAAAGTTCCAACTTTTTTTGACGGTTTCCTACAACTACATTGTTGATGATAGATAACTTTTCCTTAATGTAATCTGTTTTTTAAAGACGTCTTGAAATAAGATCATGCACAATTTTTCCAAAACATTTGTAGTTTAGCGTAATTGTGTGCGAAAATAAATGTTATTATTTTTGAAAAGCCTAACTTTTTATGTTATTCTTCATACCTAGCAAAGGGTAAAATAATTTGTGCTCGTCTCATTTCCGGCGAACTCTGTATTTTAATAGGTTCAGAATGTTAATATTTCAAAAATACAACATTGAAGGTAGGGTGTCTGCCATCAAATCTGTTCTAAAAATCAGACCAACATTGGGAAATTTGTATCTACCTTTTAATATGCTATTAAAACTGGACTTGTAATCATTGCGTGATATTACCATTGCAACTAAACTGTTGTTTATTACATTATGTATGAACGCTCTGTCAGATCTCCACTTTCTTATACAATATAACACTGTCGGATCACTCCAGGTATTCACAATCAAAACAATGACTTCAGTAAATTTTGGTTCTTTGACTCAATTACTTTAAAATCTGGTATTTTGTCATCGACCGCTGAGGAAACGAATCGTTTACAGTGTCCGGGCAAATGCTTGTAGCACACAATGAACGGGTCGTGTTCGTACGTGCGACGACACCTCCAGGCCAAGGGCTCGCGTGTTTCCAAAAGCGTGCGATATAAGCGGCCAGCCAGGCAGCCACGTGCGGCCAACGCGCGCCGCCACCGGACGCGTCTGGCGGCGCACATCCGCCTGGGCGGCGGCCAGGCGGCGACGCTGCTTTGTTTCGCTCCGCTCCCCCGCCCCCGCCCCCGCTCCCTCCTTGCGGCGCGACAAGAGCCCCGCTCACATCGAGCGCCTTGTGCCGCGCGCAGCGGCAGAAAATTCCGCGATGCCCTTCGCGCGCCAGCGCCGGAGGAGGCCCAACTGGACGAGGGAGACGACGTGGCGGATACGTACTTTTACGATTCGCATAAAACACTTAAAGCCAAGGATTGATGGGGGGAAAAAGAAGAAAAAAAAGGTGCAGGAGAAACTATTGCCATGAAGAAGGACAATTGTACTGGAAAGAAAACGTAATGACGGTGATGAACACGAAGAAATGAAGTGAGACGATGTACAAGAAGAGACGTGGCAAAGTCAGAGCAACGAAAGAAAGAAGCAAGGCACCCAGAAAAATAAAAAATAAAAAGTAAGAAAATGAAGAATGAAGGGACTCAGAGAATACAGAAGAGTAAAATAACAATTAAATAAAGAGAAGAATGGATGCGAGGATCTCAGTTGCGAGAGTTTTACAAGAGCACACCTTTCATTAGGGAATCTACGAGGAGATGTTCGCGAGGTGGAGAAGAGGTGGCTCGAGTGTGGGAGGGCTGCGTCGCCCGAAATGCGCTTGCGGCACAGCCAGATCCCGAAGCCCGTAATTACGTGTGGCCGCTAGGCCGCTCCGCAAATAGCCAACGGGCACCCAAGGCGAAGGAGCGAGGGCGGGGGCGGGCGCGGGCCGGCCGGTGCCAAGGTCGCCGGCTGCGACAATCGCGCAAACAATGAAAAGCAAGACGAGAGGTTGCAGCGGATCGCTTTCAACTGTCCAGCTAAAGCGGCAAACGTAGGCGTGTACAGAAATTGGCGAGTATCTCTCCAGATTGCGCAAAAGACCCCATGACAATCCTGCTCTTTTAATAGGGACTACTTTTGGCTGATTAATCAAGTTCAAGAAATTGTTGACTTTGAGTTACGTCAATAGTTATGATGTGCTTAGAGTGTACCAAACTACTTTAAAAGCTAGAATGCGACTTTTTGCAAATAAATGTTTACTCTCAATAATCAATACTCATACTATCAAATGAAATATAAATACAGAAAATACTATAATTTATCTCATAGAACCTATTTAAGTTCATTTTTTCTAAAAACTTTAAAGAGCATGAAGGGTAATCCTAGGAACTGAGAAAAACAGAGTGGCCACAACATAAGCAAACTCAGCAAATTTGCATTCAATTAAACTCTGCCACAATTCGTAGACAAAACTAGAAGAATGAATTATGTAAGATGGTACAAGATAAAATTAATTTAACTTTACTGGGAAATATAGGTATTGTGGTGAGTTATCGTTGGCATTTCTAATGAAATAATTATATGCGTCGTCATTGCCAACAATATTATTTATTAAAAAAGCCGCTTTCGATGGCTTAGCCATCATCATCATCATCATCATCATCATCATCATCATCATCAGTTTTCTGCTGTATGGAATCCACAAAAACAACTACTGTAGTTTGTATGCAATATTGTTGGCAATGACGACGCATATAATTATTTTTCTGGAAAAAAACCGCGACAGATAAACTCTTATTGCCAGACCTCGGTAACGAAAAATTGGAATAATCTTAGTTCTTTATATAGTAAATTTCGTCTTTAAATATGTGGTGCAGTCAGAATCCGTGTTTTGGCAGTTCTTGATACCGAAATCCCCATTGACTCAAAACGTCTGTTTACCCGTCCGTCTGTCTGAGGTTAACGCTAGCACCTATACAGTTGAGACGAATTTATGGGCTCACAGTACAAAGAAGTCATGAACTGGCTTTTGAAATCTTCACTATGACATTTTTGTTTGCTACACAGTATAAATTTATAACATTTTACATTTCAACATTTTATTATTATATCTTATTTATTAGTATATTATCGATTTAGTATATTGCTTCATTAATATTTATTGTAGTTTTTGTGAATTATGCTAGAAGAAAAAAATGGAAGAAAATACCTTAAATCGTAACTCACAAACAGATACGCAATTAACAGTTTTTATATAATTTTGAATATACCAATACACAATTGAGTCTTTATGATAAGATTACTATATAAGAAATACACGAGCGATAATCCCTGTTTAACTTACCGTCCGAGCTCACTTTGTAGGTCGTAAAGTTCCTTCATGTCAACCCCACGTCGGATCTGCACATCACGGTATGGAAAGCTGGGGTCCACCTCTGAAACAATGAGTTGCCTCGTGAGAAGTGCTGCCCAACAGAAATGCACGTGTTTGTTCACGGACGCACATTTGTAGCATTCGAAAAGCTTATTGCAAAGCATTCGCAAATTTGTAAAACACGATAACATCAAGTGAAGATGTCACTCAAAATTCTCATCAGACATCTTGACCTCACGGACTTCCATTTATGTGGCTGACATACACGTCAAATGAGGAATGTATCTTTCTTAATTCATGGTAATTAGGACAAATTGCCCACAAGTGTGACAAAAATCTTTTATCAACCGTAGTCTCATCAGTTATAATATTCTGTCCTACGCTTCTCTCCAATATTCGAATACACGGAACACAGATCGAGTTATTTCAGATATATATTGTAACGCTTACAAAAACTAACAAAGAATTTCCCTATAGACACTTATGACGCCTGTTTTACACGATCGTCAGACTGGATGAAATTTGTATGAAAAAATGACGCATGCTTAATTTTTTGTAAGACTTCCTCTGGTTTGCTATGTGTGTGGAGCAGTATGTTCATTTTGTAGTTGCGTGAGAGCGTTCTGATGTGTTGAAATTGGTAATTGAATGGTGATAGTCTACGAGGAATAAATTATATACTGTATTTGAGTAATATTTGTTGCGCATCCGTGCTCGGAGCCGTAATAAACCTAACTTATTTTAACCATGCGATGGATTCACTTTTGAACTTCAGCGCTGTATGCGGTGTCGTGAAGAAGAGTATTGTCTTCATGATTACTACAAAGACAGAAAGTGACCGTGGTAAAACGCGGGGAAACACTCTCATTCAGTTTCGGCACCGAAACATACTGCGTAGAAACGAACGTCCTTTTTCCATGCACTTTCTGTACAGAAAAATGATGAAAAAAGGATGTCACAAAGACCGTGTAAAACAGGCTTTACCGATGGCCTCGTAATGGCTTCTAGTTCTGATGTCGGTTCGCTTGGGTAAGAACTTATAAAGTCTTCATAAGTGCAATGCAATGGTAATCCTGAAAACTCTGATTACAGAGTTTGAAAGTGCGGCCAACAAAACAGCTGTTGTGAGCGAAGAACGTTCTAAGCCGAGGCGCTTAATTACGCGCGCTGTTGCTCCCACGGCCATTGGCACCCGAGGGCGGAGCGTCCTCACCCCCGCCCACGCCCACGCCCACGACCAAAGACACCTGCAGAAATACATCGCCCCACGCGACTGCTCCTCTGCACACGCCTCGAACAACACTACAAGGCCTCGAGCTGCGGCCGGCATTTTCTGAGGCAGGGAGCGGGGCCGCGAATTTTCGCAACTTTTTTAGAAATGTTTAAGTAAGGTTTCGCGTTATAAAAATACACGAAAGATTACAAATACGTAATTCATACAAAAAATATTCAAAATATTTGTGACAATTACGTGAAGAATATGAGGTCTTTCGTCAGACCTAACCATCAAACTCGCTAGAAAGTCAGCATTCCACAAACTAGTAATAAACTAAAAGCCTGAACTCCAGGCAATAACCGATATTTCAATTTAAACATGTACGGAGAATATATTATTTGTGTGATTAAATTAATATAATAACGAATTAATTAAAAAAGCTTAACGGAAAGATGAAATAGTAATAACACTGACAGTTAATTACAACGTTAATACCGTAAGACTTTAAAATTGAATATTGGAGGATTATTAAATAAGGTAGTGAAGAATGGTGTGATTACCAATTGAAATTATTAAGTTGTACTAAGATCTTACAACACGACATCGTACAAAGTTTTATTCAGTTTGTAAAAATTAAAGTGTACTTTAGTGTTCGTTAAGACATATTTTCGACGAAGTGCTCTTCTTTTTGTTCACAAAGTGCGCTTTTTAGTTGCAGTCCCATACGGGGGGAAGGTCAGCGGCGGAACTCATTGTAGCTTTTTTGATCCTTTAAAAAAGAAATTACTGATTCATCGTTAGGACTTTTATTATTAGACCACATCTTAATTCTACAGGATTGTTCCCTATTTCTATACTTGTAGATTATTTGCAAAATACTTCAAAAGCCTGCAGAAACACATACTAGTTGCTTGATGCGAACTCCAACACACTCTTACAGCCAGGCCTGGCACTTAATACACTGCAATCTTCCTGTATCTGTCGATTCTAAATTCGAAATAAAAAAAGACAATTCTAAATTCGAAGTAATTTAAGTGAGTGTTGACGTAGAAGTTATAATTAACCCATCGTTTAATAAACAAAAATTTAAACGGGAGAAACGATATCAAATGCTTCACTTAAAATGCAAATATTTATAACAATACGTTTAAGACACAGTTGGAAGATAATATAAATTAATAAATAAAGAAAAGGCTATAGCATATTTGCGAAACATTTGAACGGTGTTGATAATCAAGAACATTAACTTAATGTACCCTAAGATGAACCACGTAAGATAAGAATAGCCAAGGGACTAGCAAATGAAAGCGCACCGCTTAAAGAAACAATTGATAAGTGTCGTAGAAGTGGACGACGGAACGAATTTAAAATACGAGTAGATTACGCTGCGTCATAAATCAGTGGGCAGATTCAGGAGAGGTACTGTTGCTAGAATACCGAAGGAAAATAGAAAAGGTAGCCATGCATTACGGACGTGTTGTAAAGAGTTGCGGAGTTTTGTGGTTGATTTTTAGAACTTAAATATTAAACCCGAAAGAAGCTGCAAATGTTATAGTATTTTGTAATAGCATAGTAGCAAAATTATAGACTTCAAGACTTTATTTTGATTTGCAAGTTTCAAGTTAGAATCATTTCAAATTTCGAGAGTGGTTGAAGAGGCGGACCTGGATCCATGGACAGAGAAGTGAGGAAGATGAACTATTCGGCGAGGATTTTTGTCAGTCAAGTACCCAGTAGACAATGCAAGGGAAGTGAAAACATATTGAATAATTTGACTAAAAAGTAACTAATGAATATTGAAAAATAGCCATTTAAAATACCTGCGAATTGAGAAATGCACAAATTAAAATTATTATTTGTTGTATGTATTATAACAATGTTTAACAGACATAACATCAAAGGCAGATTTTTAGTAGAATAGACCAACCAAAGACAGTATTGTTGTGAGCTATAAATTTCGAATATTGTTTTTCTCTGGTAAGAATAATTTCCAAACAATTTCGCAATGTAGAAATTATCGGCCGAAATCTCCTAAGAGCGGTGATTTTGAAGACCACAAGAGCGGAACAACTGTCAGAAAACCTTTTTTATTATTATAATTTAAGATAGCTAAATAACATATTAGGCTGGTGACTATCTCTTGGTCATCGTGCTCGCTTTTCAGTACTCGTCCCCGGGTTCGATTGCAACGCGCGTTTTACTTGCAATGTTCAATATATGTTGCCGTACGGCGATGAGAAAATTCACTTCTCTGGTTGACAAGACCGGAATACGGCGCGACGTGGGATGTCTACGTGCTAACCACACGTACCCCCTTAACCCGTGGCCTCGTGGCAGGGACGTCGCCGGAAGGCCTGAGCCCGTTCACGGGCTGTCGTGTCAAGTACATCCACACGTAATATCATATTGACGACCGGCCAAGTAATAGCGCATAACTTTGTTAAACGGTGAGAAATAATCATTTAGATTTAATGGGATTAGGGGTGTTATTGTAATATATACGTTTCTCGTCACTCTTTATTTTGCCATTGATTCCAAAGAATGTATATCATTGATTCATCAGTCTTTCCACGAGCCGGGATAGCATTGGAATGTGTTAAGATGAGACAACAACAAACGAATACTCTATTTTTGTACTTTTTCAGAACCAGCTGTAAACTCATAGATAATACACTTTATTAAAATGTTCAAACATTATAAAAAGAAAAAATAAAGTATTTTTTTTAAAAACTCCGTTTCAATTATTTAACACGTGTATGAATGAGCTGATTCCTTTTATAATAAATTGAAGAAGAAGAAGAAGAAGAAGAAGAGAGTATGTTAATAGGAATAATTATTTTGAGGTTCATATTAATATTAATCCGAGGGTCCAGAACTTGAGTTCTCGCAACAGTAAATATTAGTGAGCCCAGCAGAAATGATTGTTCCCTTTAGCCCTCCTCTGCGAAGGAGGAGGTACGGGGAGGGCAGTGTTCGTGGCCTGGGCGTGGGCGGAGTGCTGGGAGGCAGGCGAGGGAGGGGGGGCCATTGCGCAAGGACCTGGCTCCCGGCAAAGATCTCAATGAGAGGAACACAGCATCAATGAGTTCACCTGCAGTTCAGTTTCAGAGACAATTACAATGTGCGTTGCACCAAAATAAATATTGGCGTAGCATATTCTGTAATGTAGCAAAATCGACGTTAGTTTGAAATAAAATAAACCTACCTCAAATAAACATACTTCACATTAAGCAAAGGTAATATGTTCGTATCCAAAAGTTTCAGATTGTCGTAAACCGTCAGAAAAACTAGTTAAAAGCGTGGGTAGGCGTTCAAAGAACACATTCAAGGGAGAAGGCAAAAGAGCCGGACCCACATAAGGCTGGGAGGGCGCACCGGGGCGCACTGTCAAGATTTTTCTCTCTCGCCTTACTTCATGTGTACGTAGTAAAGATAAAGTAAATACTGCTGCAGCCGATTTTTAGGCAGAATAATACACGTTGTCGGGTACTGGTAATGAAGTAAAGTGGATAAATCTAATATCACTATAAAGTATTTCAGTAAAGCTCTTGAGTGTGCGAACGTGCAGATGTGTGTTTTTGCCATTCCGACACTGGCGGCTAGTCCACTTCCCGTGCACGAATCAAGATGTATGAAAAGTCATTCGACGCGACTCGTTCACCTGATGGGGACCTGATCATTTGTTTTCGGATCCGACCAGAAGATTTAAAGAAATTTCCAAAAACGTGTTTTTTCGTATTTTGGCGCTGCGAACTTAGTGATAATGCCAGGAATTATACCAACGCGTCCTAAGTCGATCTATGTAGGAGACGATTAAATACCAGAACCCAAAAGGCATTTTTGCTTAATTACCATAATTTTCTTTCAAGACCTTA